CCCAGAGTCCCCCATTGTGGGGAGATGGGCGGGGACAAGTCTACTAAATAAATAAATAAATTAGCAATATATGTGCATGTATGTTTGTGTCTGTATATGTACGTGTGTGTGTGTGTATATATATATGTATGTATATACTGTATGTATGTATGCATATGCATATTTTAACATTCAAAAAATACAGTGGAATTTACTTTCAAATTAATACATTTATTTGTAAACTTGAAACTGAATGTTTATAAGCAGATAAATCGAATCAGTCAGTCAATCTTTATTTTGATCAATGACCAGCATGAAGATAAATCAAATGGTATGTTTAGTAAAGATCTTCTAAATCAATGTACCTTAAGGATAGGTAACCTATATACTGTACTTCAGAAGTTTTACATTACAATTTCTATCATTTCTGTCAATGGACTTGCAAGCTTACATTGAAAGGAATAGCAATTCTAATCATTTGGAAGGCCCACTAGTAGACAAAGCCACCAGGTTATAAAAATATTTGACATTATTTGTAAAGTGCTTTTTATGAGACTCAAAGAACCATTTTTGCATATAGTATTTCAAATTATATAATAAAAAAATTAAAATATTTGCTGTTTTGAAAGTGCAAAATTAAATAGACATGTATAAAACTGCCACAAACAAAAGCTACAGAATACGCACCCAGATATGAACTCATCTCTAATTTCCTCTGTATAAGACCCTTTCCAGTTCAGCTTCCAAGATTTCTCCCCAGGTATCCACATCCATAGGATACATACATTTTTCTGGTAAACCACTGCGTGACTGAATATTGCTATATTTTCCACTCAGCCATTCATACTTTATTTTGCTTTTCCAGTAGTTTCTATGCAGCGTGACCTGATAAAAGCAATTGGGAAAGAATAGGAAAAAGAGAGAGATTTTAATAAAGATGTAATACATAGATTTCTTATGTACAGAAAGTCCTATCTCGCAAGCAATTCCATAATTTAGAGGGAAAAACTCAACTCTCACCTACTTAAAAGCTGGCCTCAAGTCAGCTTATTCCTATTTTTCACATGTGAGATTAAAAATCATGCCAGTTATACTGTATGAAAACTCTGTAAACATACAATAGAAAGTACATATCTATTTCACACCATATAGTTTTCATGTTTGCATTGCAAGTCATTTGAAACTACTATTTTAACCAAGAAAAACTTTTCAGAACAAAAAATTGAATTTAGAATGGACTTCTAATGTATTGCTGCCCACTAGTGATTCGTGGAAATTATTACACTCTCATGGTACAAGATTAAGCACTTAAACTCTTATAACTAAAGTGCTTACTGAAAGTTTTTTTACAAAAAAAGAAAAGGTACTTTGAGAGGAAGTGGATTAGATTAGAGAAGTGGTGAGTGGGAAGAAGAGCTTCACTCTTTCTCTTCCTGATCAAATCACATCACCAGCCAAAATGTATTTTCACATTTTTAAATGTCATTATACATAATTGCTATAACATTTAATTACACCTGTGCAACTTGGACAGTGGACTTTGTTTGGCCTGCAGTCCCGTTTTTGTCACACACACATCCTGAGCCCCGTACAAATGTGCTGTTATATTTTGATGGTAAAATGACAATTTTAGACAATGTCATCTCTGTCACTGTCAATTTAAGATATAAAATAGATATGTTAAATAGGGCTGTATAGGTCTTTGATCTATAGTGGTTGCCAGTTGCTTATTAGACATAATTTAAGGTGTTGATATTCAGCATCATCTGCAACAAAGTATGATGATGCCAAAATGACATGCATGTGGTAATGTCATCATGCAAAGGATGCCATTAGGTACTTGCACCCCAACATCTGAGGCAAATCTGTAAGTTACAGCATTTGTGTGATGATGTCACTAAGCACATTTTATCACTTGTCCCCTCCTGTGGATGCCCATGATGGTATTGATCTTTAATCTATTGATCTCAGTGGCTTAGCACTTGACTGTGCTAAGCTTTATGTCTCTCATTATGAACCTGTCTAGTTGTTAAAACAGCAGAGAAAATCCTTTTGAAAAGCCCCCATAAGACTACTATCCTTCTGGTGGAGAGAAGAGGGCCTTCCATTGCTCCTAGGGTATGAGGAGTTCTCCCTTGGGAGTTGTGTTTAGCCCCCATTTTCTCTGTGATTAGAAAATATATAGAGATTCATGTCTCTTATTAGGCTTTGTATTATTAAGTGAATTTAGGATCTATTTTACTGCTAATTCTAATAAGTGTTTTTAATAAGTAGTACTATTTACTACTAAACACTAAAAATAAGTATTTTAATAAGTACTACTAATTCTAATAAGTAGTAAAGAGGGATTGCAGAGAATACTTCTTGCTAGTTTTTGCTCCAGAATGCAAGAGCAAAAGACTGAAAGCATATACAGTTTTTATTTTGCAACTTATTTCTTGTTGTTGTATGAGAAGAAATAGTATTGTTATCATGAGGCTTCCTCAACTACAAGATTGCTGCACGATAGAAGTTTCTTTAAAATAACCCCCCCTGTAATTGCTTGTTATCCCAGTAAGTAAAGCTTCTCATTAAGTAGAAACTATAATTGAAATTTCTGTTCCTTTCTGAGAAACTGCCGAGGAAAGCAGGCAGAGTACAACTAGATAATCGTACTGTTGAATCAATGCTAAAAGGAACAGCAGCTATGGCCCACTCCATGAACCTCAGGAAGGTACAGAACTTTGGTGGTATCCTTGTTGCCATCTACCTTACAGGATGGGCTCCCTGGACATGACCCAAGAAAGCAAGCTCTCTTGAACTGATCCTAGGTTTTGAGGCTACGGATGCACAATCTGCAGCTCCAAGCACTGGAGGTCAACCCCAGAATCTTATATTGCAGCTTTCCAAACTCTTATTCTGGACTCCCTCTGTCCCCCTGCTGCGAAAGTTTGGTGGCAGTGCAATTTCAAGAATGGAAACATGAAAACTGGTGTAAGCACTAAAAAAGTCTTGTACTTAAAACAAACAAAAAAGAATAATAGCTATCCCAAAACCAGAAAATCCCAGCCCCGTGTGTCCATTTGGAATCCTGCCTCACCCTCTATGGTTCTTGACCTCTCAGAAGTATAGCTCCTAACCAGCAAAAGGTTGCCCATTCCTTCAGCCTAACTTCATAGAATTGGAGTGAGGGGAAGGCAAGCTGATGATTCAGATATTCTGCACAAAAGTTCCTATCTTCTATTTTTAATAGCAATGATAGCTGAGACTTTCAGGAGATGTAGTCCAAAAACATCAGGTGTCTTGAAAGCAATTACTTTCAGGAATAGATTGTCTCCTGTCTTCTTTCTTTCTTTTGCCAAAGTAAGGCAAATAACACTGTCTTATCCTACAGAATATCCTTTCAAATAAATGCCCAAGAGGCTTGACAAATTTCAGCTGTGCCAAAAGGCTTGGTGATACTGTGCACGAGATAGTAGATCTGGATATAAGAGACTATACTGTAATCAAGACTCAGTTAAACTTACCTTCCATGAATAACCTTTTCCTCTGTCACCATCAACTTCTCGCTGACAGACAGTTCTTATATTTAAACAGTGGGGTTTCCATAAATCATCAAAATGCTCAATGGTTTGGTTCCAGCTCTTGCAGGTTATTGCAGCATTGCACAAACTCTGAATGTCAAGTTTGCTAAAAATCTTTAAGCTGACTTCTAGTGGAAACAGCTTCACAAAATCTCCTTGACTATTGTTTTTCTTCTGTTTGGAAGATTTAAAGAACAATTTCTTACAAGTAGTAGTTGCAACGGTCTGCTGTTTTTTTCTGGATGATTTCTGTTTAGACCCTTTCTTCATAGTTTAGACTTTGCTTAAATACCAGTCACCTTTTCTGAAAAAATAAAATTGTCAGAGATGGGAGTATAATCAACTCTGTTTAGAAATATTTGCTGATAGTGTTCTTAAAAAAATTCCTCTCTGGATAAGTATCAGTGCTATGTAAATGTACACAAAAATATATCCCTATATATAATGACTGTGAGCACAATCATTTTAGGAATTTTGTTTTTAATGCTACTTACTGTTTTCCGTGAATCATACCTTTCCTTCATAAGGAATATATTGCATAGATGTGTGTGTGTGTGTGTGTCTCCACACAGGCAAGCATAATTCTTTCCATACAGTTAAAGTGGAGCATCCTGAAATGATACACTAACAGAAAAGTAGCAATTATCCAAAGAGACAAGTTTTCCAATCTGAGCCACAGGAAACAGTTGCTCTCAGATTTTTGCACATACTGTACATGTATCTGCCATATGGAACAATTAAGTTGGCTGTTTTGCTCCAGTGTGAATATGAGCTGGAGAAAGGGCAGTATATAAATCTAATACACATTATTATTTTATTCAGTTCCAACTTGTTGCTTTGAGGGCTGAATAAACATTTCTATGACTGCAACAAAATTGTCATTTTGGCAGCTGGGCCTGAGAAGCTGTCTGCTTGGAGGGAAGCTTCTCCCATGTAGAAGGGAGCAGTCTCACTGGCAGTCAAGAAGGGCTATTTAGATGGTTGGTTTGCATGAGGGTAAAGATACATTCATGGGCTTTCCTAATTCATGTATCTTGATTGATTGGTTGGTTGGTTGGTTGGTTAGATTTATATCCTGTCTTTTCTTCCAGAACTCAAGATGGTTTACATGGTGATCTCCCTTTATTTCTTTCATCACAAGAACCTTGTGAGATAGGCTAGGATGAGACCAACTGGCCCCAAGTCACTGGCAGAGAGTGGATTTACACTTGGGTCTTGCAAGTCCTAGCTTAACATTTTCATCCATAACCACACTGACTCCATTGTAAATCATCTCTCAATGATCCTACAATTATAATGACTGCAGCCATGGCCTGTAAGAAGACAACACATCATGTTCTAGATCAGTGATTCTCAACCTTTTTGAAGCTGCCCCCCCCCCAGGAGCGGAAAATTTTTCAACGCCCCCCTTTGTGAAAATCCTG